AGGGGGGAAAATGGCGGACTGCGTTGTTTGGCGCCCCCTCCCCCCGTGAAATGGTCGTTCGACCCCAAATGGGATCCCGACCCACAGGTTGAGAACCACTGCTCTTGAGGGAAGTTAGCTCAGAGAAAGAAATATTAAAAGGGCAGAAAAATATATTTTTCCTCAAAAGGATTTTTTTTAAAACCAAACCTGGCCCCAAAGCTATCTCTCTGCCCCAAGCAAGAGCTAGCCCCATACAAATGCAGATGTAAAAACATCAGAAAGTTGAAGCCAGAGCACTCAAGAAGACAAAGAGAAAATCTGCATGCCCCACCAAAACTCTAGGAGTCATTAGCCTCATCACCTGGGAAGCAGGATATGATAATAGGATTAAACCACAGATATCAAGGCCTAGAAAAACACTCAGAAATAGCCTCAAGGTTCATGCCACAGGAACAGGAAACTATTCCAAACAAGGCTAGAGGGGGTATAAAAACCTACTGCCCATGTGTTCAACTCCTCTTGCCTCTCTTCTGCTCTTTCTTGCAAGGACCATCTTTCTGCTTCTTCAATAAACTGTAACCTTCTTCCCAAAGCAGTCGCCATGTTGCTTATTTATCCGCAGCTTGGATGAACCAGGATGAAGACTTACTTCTGACACTCTCAACAAGTCCTTTGGTCTGATGATGAGGAGGAGGAGGAGATAACAAAATAAAAAGACCTGCAGGTATAAATAGAACAACTGTGGCAAAAGAAAGCAAAGGTAGTCCAATAATCATAACAACAACAGAACAGAAGAGGAAAAACAGAGAACATAACAAAATACAAAGACCTGCAGATAGAATGACTGGCAAAGGAAAGCAAAGGTAGCCCCAATAATCACAGGCACTTTGGATGTGATCCCAAAACTGGAGCATACTTGAATGACATTGGCATTGACAAAATCACTGTTAGTCAATTGCAAAAGACAGCATTGCTTGGAACATCTTCTATCCTGCAACCATAACTTTTAACACCATCAAAGAACAACATCTGTCTATCCCAAGTCGTTGGGAAGCATTCAAAATAAAATGGTTAAAAATAGATAAAAATGCCAAATCCACTTTAAACATCCAGTTGACTGCATGATGAACCATAATATATAATTTTATTGTTTACTTTATGATTTGGTGATGTGGAATAGCTTGTCTTTAGAAGTTGTAGGTGCTCCATCACTGGAGGCTTTTAAGAACAGATTGGACAGCCATTTGAAATGGTATAGGGCAGGGGTAGGCAATCTTGGCTCTTTTATGACTCGTGGACCAACTCCCAGAATTCCTGAGCCAGCCATGAGTTATAAAGGAGCCAAAGTTGCCTACCCCTGGTATAGGGTCTCCTGCTTGAGCAGGGGGTTGGACTAGAAGACCTCCAAACTCCCTTCCAACTCTGTTATTCTGTATTTTCATTGTACACCTTGCAGAATCATGCTTTGTGAGAAGGGTGGCATATAAATGCGATAAATAAAAATTGTGAAGAAAAAAATAGCACACTTAATTCTCCAGCTGCAACCAAAGATGCTTTACAGATTTTCAGGCAACTTTATCCCACCAAGGTCAAAATGTCTGGTCTGGTAGGAAATGTGCCACAATGTGATCTATATTGTTAATCTCTTGGTTAAGGGTTACGTTTAGTCGTCTTCACAATCATGTTTCACAGCACAAGTTACAACCATATTGGAACCTGCCCATTATAGTTGTAACTTCTGATGGGTCTTAAAAGCGTCTTGTGAATGACCTGATTTTACAACCCACTGTGTGGCAGTCCCTAAGCAAATGGCATTGTCATAAACCGTTGCGGTCGTTAAGCAAATGCTACGGTCACTAACGGAACCAATGGTTTGCTCTGGGTACAGTTTTGCCAGACTGGAAAAAAATGCCAGGGATTGGCAAAACCACTATACTAGGCGTGACTGGGATACTATATACAGCCATAAATGCAGCCTGCTTACCAAGCACCCAAATTTCAGTCATGTGATCACTGGTGAGGTGGGAGGTCTGACCTTTAGAATGTCAAATCATAGCCTCCCCAGGTAGGTCCAACAAAATGTCAAATCATAAGCCTCCCCAGGTAGGTCCAACAAAACTTCAAACTGTTTGAAAGTTGTAAGTCAAGGGCTAAGAGATTTTACAGTTACCACAATAACCCATTTTTGCACAATTATACCAGTTTCACCACCTGGATTGTCTGAACTAAATTGGGTTGCCTGCCTTTATGTTGAAATCCTAAAGGGAAAAAGCCACTGAATATTTCTCTGAATAAAATCTGTGCTCCAAAAAAACTGGAGCAGCGGCGGAAGGAATGGCTATATTGAAAAGTTTTAGTTATACACAAAGACAGCCATTTCTTGATTAAAATGAGGTCTTTCCCACATCTTCCACTGCAGGGCAAATTCAGGACACAATTCCAGCTGTATCCATGTACAGAGGCTGTTTATGTATTTATCAAATTTATATAACTGTCTATCTCATGCAGGTTGATTTACAATCATTTACAATCAGCTTGAAGTTACAACAGCATTGAAAAAAAAAAGTGATTTAGCGCTGTTTTTCACACAATCATTGCAGCAACCCTATGTCATGTGATCAAAATTTGGGAGCTTAGCAACTGGTATGTATTTGTGATGATTCCAGTATCTTTGCGATCTGACAAGCAAAGTCACTGGGGAAGCCAGATTCATTTAAAAACTGTGTTACAAACTTAGCAACAGTGATCCACTTAACAATTGTGGCACAAGGTCATAAAATGGGGTAAAACTCACTTCACAAAACCATCTTGCTTAGCAATCCAAATTTTCAGCTGAATTTTTGTCATACGTTGAGGATAATGATGATGATGATGATGATGATGATAATAATAATAATAATAATAATAATAATAATAATAATAATAATAATAAAGTTGGAAGGGACCTTGGTCCAACCCCCTGCTCAGGCAGGAAATCCTATACCATTTCAGACAAATGGCTGTCTAGTCTCTTCTTAAAAACTTCCAGTGTTGGAGTATTCACAGCTTCTGGAGGCAGGTTGTTCCACTGGTTAATTGTTCTCACTGTCAGGAAATTTCTCCTTAGTTCTTAGACTACCTATATATGACTCTGGGCAGCTTATCAACAATTAAACCCTAGTACAGTACAAAAACTATAAAAAAGGAAAAATACAGCAATTTAAGAATATATATATATAAAAGCATATAAAAACATCATAAATACATGAAACTCACAGCCCACAATCCTGTTCAACAATTCCTATAGCTCTTGAAACGGCTCACTTACTTTCATATTAAACTTTGTGCCAGTGTATTTATGTACATTTAACTATGCTCATTTTTGCCTTGTCCCTTGAATTAATTTCAGCCCATCCAGAATGATTGTTTGCTTAACCTGTTGCCAAACCTGATTTTGATCTATTGCAAAAATGGCTAGCTTTTGTTTTATTGAGTTAATCATCTGTTTCGTGGAGATTTTCTGGGTTTTGATTGCAATGAAACATTTAAGAGCGTGTCTGTTTCTTCAACATTTCCTACCCAGCTGTTTTCATGTACAAGTCCCCTCACTCTTCAAAACTGCCAGGTGTAATGAATAATACAGTAAAACATAACACTTATTTATTGCACTAAAACCTTCATTTTTAATAACTCACAAATTTTCTTAAAAATTCAGCAACGCAGCACGATTCGTCCTTTTTCTTGTAATGCGTATTGAGAAATCTTTTTTCCTTGTCCGCTAAGATATGGAAAATGTTGGAGTATTCGGCATTTTGGCGGCATGTGGTAGGCACTCTCACATGATGGCTATATTGGGTCTAGAGTTGAAGGCATTGGGCTAGAAACAAGGAGACGGTGAGTTCAAGTCCCACCTTAGGCATGAAAGCCAGTTAGGTGACTTTGGGCCAAACACCAAGAGGCTGTGAGTTCTAGTCCTGCCTTAGTCATGAAAGCTGGCTGGGGTGACTTTGGGTCAGTCATTTCTCTGTCATCCCACCCTGCCCCACAGGACTGTTGTGGTAGGGAAAATGGAAGGCAGAGGGGGTATTAGATACGTTCGCTGCCTTGCGTTATTTATAAAAATAATAAAGGTGGGATTTAAAAAAAAAAACTAACACCCCATCCAAGCCTGCCCACCTAACTACAGAACAAATCTGCATAAGACTTGACATCCATGGGTAAGTTTTAGAAACATCTCCTCACCTGGTTCATCAAGGCCTTCAACAATGCCAGTGCTTCTAATGTGCTGCCTAAATAAACATAAATTTTGGGCTCAGTTGTGATAGTTGAGGACTATCAGTACATCAATCTGCCCGAGGGCTAAGAACTCCTAAATCAGCGGTTCTCAACCTATGGGTCACGACCCCATTTGGGGTCGATCGACCATTTCACGGGGGGTCACCAAGCAAGGCTGCCCGCCATTTTTTTTCCCTTTTTCCAGCGGGTGCCTTACCTCTCTTGGGCTGGGCCAGCTGGTGGCCCAGCCGGTGGTCGGCCTGCTCCGTCTCTGCCGCTTGCCAGCTATGCTTTGGCCGGCGCAGGGGGCGGCACCACGCATGCGCAGCGCTCCCGGGCAAGGAAAGTCCTCGACTTACAACCGGTTGGGTAGTCCTCGACTTTCAAACAGTTTAGTCCTCAACTTACGACCGGTTGGGGGGGTCGCAGCATTAAAAAGTTTGAGAACCACTATCCTAAATCTTTTATATAATCCTTACGGAGAACTGCAGAATGCCAAGTGGCACTTTTATTCAAGCGGGCTGCGAAATGCCTCTGTTTTTATTTGGATTTTAATCCTTTCGTGTTCTACAGTGCTTCTTTAATGTCAGGTACTTATGGTTTCTTATCAACTTAAAGAAGAAAAGAAGGATATTAGGAGACCGAGTTGCATTGAGTTATCAGTTTCTCAACCATGACCACTTGAGGACCTGCGGACTTCAACTCCCAGAATTCCCCAGCCAGCAAGTTTTGTTTGGAAATAAAATGGAACAGTTACAATGAACAATTGGAGGAAAAATGCTTTATTATATTTTTTTTTTCTTCCTTCATTACGATCAACAGAGCATGGCATGCCGAACCTTCGCTGTGCTATACTGCTGACACATCCACAATGATAATACCACAAACAGGACTTGGCACTTAACATGCCATATCAATACCAAGACTTTTTTTTTTTTTTTTTTTTGCTGTATGGTGGCTCTGCTCAGTGAAACCAGTGATTGCTGCAAGCACACCAGCTGAATGCAATCAAAATCCATTATTTCAGCTCTGGCTGGGACAAAGTATTATATTTTTTAAAAATAATAACGGTCATAGTAAACTCAAGAATTGCAGATCCAGTTCAGAGAGTTAAGGTTATTGCAGGGGTCCCCAATCTCCAGGCTGTGGCCTGTTTGAAACTGGGAGAGATGGGCAAGCGTGCATGTGCGCCCGCCACTTGCACAACTGAAGCTTCGTGCATATGCGCAAGTGTCCTCTACTCGTGCGCTAGCGCCATCTGCTTGCACGTGGGGTGCTCCACACACAAGCACACGCGCTCTCCGCTCATGGAAGTGGAGGGTGTGCGGGCCCACTGCTTCCACAAATGGAGCTGTGCGCGCGCATGTGCGCCTGCCACTCACATGCCCCCCCCTACTCCTGCTGGGCCAGGACGCCAAGCTAGAAAGTTTGGGGACTGCTGGTCTATTGTATCACGGCCTTGAGGATTCCACGAAGGATCTTGTAATTCATCAATTGCTGGTTCTCCTTCGGAGGGAAGCAGGCACCGCGTTCCGTCACGTAGGCGTAAGGGAAGCGAAGAACCCACAGCCCGTCGGGGGGCAGAGTTATCTCTTGCTTCTCTGGGTAAAATATAGGGCAAGGAGGCGGCCCTGGCTGTACCTGAAAGAGATGAGAAAGAAGCAGCTTTAATTTTTGGTTCCTTTTGCATAAAGCACATAACAGATTAGAGGTCAGCAGGGTAACTATGGGCCGATCACCAGGAGATGGTGAGTTCTAGTCCTGCATTAGCCAGGAAAGCTGACTGGGTGACTTTGGGCCAATCACCAGGAAACAGTGAGTTGTAGTCTCACCTTAGCCATGAAAGCTAGCTGGGTAACTAGGGGCCAATCACCAGGTGACAAGTGATTTCTAGTCCCGCATTGGTCATGAAAGCTGACTGGGTGACTTTGGGCCAATCACCAGGAGACAGTGAGTTCTAGTCCCGCATCAGCCAGGAAAGCTGACTGGGTGACTTTGGGCCAATCACCAGGAGACAGTGAGTTGTAGTCTCACCTTAGCCATGAAAGCTAGCTGGGTAAAAAGGGGCCAATCACCAGGAGACAGTGAGTTCTAGTCCTGCATCGGCCAGAAAAGCTGACTGGGTGACTTTGGGCCAATCACCAGGAGACAGTGAGTTCTAGTCCTGCATCGGCCAGGAAAGCTGACTGGGTGACTTTGGGCCAATCACCAGGAGACAGTGACTTCTAGTCCCGCCTTAGGCCCAAAAGCCAAATGGGGGACCTTGGGCCAGTCCCTCTCAGCCCAACCCACCTCACAGGGTTGTTTTGGGTAAAATAGGAGGAGAAAGGCATGTTAGATATGCTTGCCGCCTTCATTTATTTGCAGAAATAACAAAGACGGGATAACGAGCGAATTAAATGTAGAAAGATAGAAAGGTAACGCATTGAGAACCAACTCAATGCTCAAGGATTCTACATGTCTTACCTGGGGGGTCAATATTATTTGCAGGGGAGCATCAGGGACCACCACAAAGAGCCTCATCAGCTGAGCATAGTGTGGCTTAAGTCCTCTCCCTGGATTGGACGATAGGATGTAAAGGGGCATGTCGGAATTGAGGGCTTTGACGGCCGATTCTTTAGGTCCTCCACCCATCACTTTCATGATCTTTTCCGGTCCCGAGCACATGAACCTCCGGCCTCGGGCATCTTCGTATTCATAACCCACAAAAGCCCGAGCAACGTCGTCCCTCCGCCTTCCTCGGCCCATGACCACTGCACTCCGTTTTCCCGGAACAGCCTTGTTAGGGGCCGGCCAAGAATTGGTATCCAGGTCTCCATCTTCATCCGTCCGCGTGCGGATGACAATGTCCCAGGGCATTAAGTAGTTGGTGCCCAGGATGAAGCCTTGTTGATCCAAGCCGGCGTGGAAATTGTAGGCTTTGGCAGGGCCCAGCTTCACCAGAGACCAGCTGGAGAAAGTGGGGAGAAGACCCTTGGGGCAATTGGAGTGAAGCATCCCGGGCAGATATTCTACCGTGGAAGGCTGGCGATCCACCAAGCTTGCTCTCTTTTCCCCTTTCGCTTCGGACGCTGCCCCATGCGCTTCGGTGTTGTTGCCTCCACCCTGTGGGTCTGCAGGGTAAGTCCCTAAACTATCTGTGGATTGATCCAGACTGAGGGCCAAGCTGAGGCTGGTGCTGTCCCCCTGAGTTTGGGGTTCCTTGTCCTTCAGCTTCTCAGCTTCCCCTTCGGGGGGGCTGGGGGAGGCCTCGTTCTTGGCCGGGGCTGGATCAGGCGTACTGGGCTGAAACACGGGGAAATTGATATGCTCCAACTTCCCGCAACATTTCTCTTCCAGCAGCTGTAACGAGAGGGAAAAAGAGAGCGGGAGCATGAATGATGAAGTTCGAAGGAACACACACATCCATAACCTGTCAGCCTTCAAACATATTAGGGCTGCACTCGTAGCCTACCTGGAAGGGCCATTCAAACTACAATTAATGCAATTTGCTCTGAGTGGCCCCTAAGTGACTTTAGTAATAAATTTAGGGAGAAAATAATGGTACAGGTAGTCCTTCACTTGATGGCTGCAGTTGGGAACCAGAATTTATGTTGCTTAGCAAGGCAGTTGCTAAACGAGCCATGCCAATCACTAGGAGTCAGTGAGTTCTAGTCAGCTTAGGCACGAAAGTCACTTGGATAAGTTTGGGCCAATCACCAGGAGATGGTGAATTCTGGGCCCGCCTTAGGCATGAAAGCTAGATGGGTGACTCCGGGCTAATCACCAGGAGACGATGAGTTCTAGTCCCGCCTTAGGCATGAAAGCCATCTGGGTGAGTTTGGGCCAGTCACCAAGAGATGGGGAGTTCTAGTCCCATCTTAGGCACGAAAATCAGCTGGGTGACTTTGGGCCAATCACCAGGAGATGGGGAGTTCTAATCCTGTCTTAGGCGTGAAAGCTAGATGGGTGACTCCAGGCCAATCACCGGGAGATGGTGAGTTCTAGTCTCGAATTAGGCACGCAAGTCAGCTGGGTGATTTTGGACCAATCACCGGGAGACAGTGAGTTCTAGTCCTGTCAGCAAGGTGACTGTGGGCCAGGCCCTCTCTCCCAACCCACTTCACAGGATTATTGTTGTGGGGAAAATGAAGAAGTTGGGTTCGATATATTCACCACTTTATTTATAAAAATAATAAAGGTGGGATCCAGATAAATAAATGAAAAATAAAATAAAAATAAGGGTGTAGCTCGAGGGGGGGGTTCTTGGCAGGTTTAAAACCAACTCCGATAACAATCCAGATGGCTTAGCTTGCTGTGTGAATGTGACCTTGGGTCTAGCAGGCCCTGTAAGACACAAGCCTTCTTATCCATTTCAAAACTGAAAAGCTGACAAACCAGTTGTGGATCTCTCTTTCCTGGAGAGAAAGGGATTAAAGGGATTACCTGATAGAAATCATAATTTGCAGCTTTGATGTCAAAGGGATCGTCCCGGGGTGCTTGTTTTCTCCCGCAGTTGCAGGCACCGGTAGAACGGGCCCGGCTGTTATGGTACAACACGGGCGGATTCCGATCCGGTTCCGTTTTTTCCCCTACACAGAAAAGTGGCAAGAAAGAGTCAAATGGCATCGTTTTCATTCCTTTGCAACGGTTCGGTTGGATGGTTTTGCTTCTTAGACACAACTGTTTACATTTTTGTTTGGCCAAGTGATGTATATCTTTTCCACACAAAACTGTCAACCTACCATGTTTCAGCAGCCACAAAACAACAACTGCAATATTCCAGCTTCGAGTTAGGTTACTGGATCATTACCAGTCCATTTAAAAAAAAAAAGAGGGAAAAAAAGAGAATCTCCTGGATGTGGTATCAGCCCTTTTTATCCTTTACAAAAATGCTGTCACCTCATGATTAACCCGTCAGAGGGCTGATCACAGCATGATCTTTGATTATTGGATTATTAGAGAGCCAGTTTGGTCTAGGGCAGGGGTAGGCAACCTTGACTCTTTTATGACTCGCGGACTTCAGCTCCCAGAATTCCTGAGCCAACCATGCTGAGAAGAAATGGAGGTTTCCATGCTGAGCTATGCCGGCTCAGGAATTCTGGGAGCTGAAGTCCACGAGTCATAAAAGAGCCAAGATTGCCTACCCCTATCTTAGGACGAAGATTAAGAGCAGGGGTCTTCAAACTTGCCCCTTTTATGACTCGTGGACTTCAACTCCCAGAATTCCTGAGCCAGCCATGCTGAGGTGAAAGGAAGAGGTTTCCAAACTGAGCCATGCCGGCTGAGGAATTCTGGGAGTTGAAGTCCATGAGTCATAAAAGAGCCAAGGTTGCCTACCCCTGGTCTAGTGATTAAGGCACAAGGCTATGGGCATTTCCCCTATGCTGCGTTCATGTGTTTGAGAGGGATGAGAGGAGAAGAAGGTGTAGGGAGGAAGTAGGATGGTAAGAGGAGAAGGGGAGGGGAAGAGAGTAGGAGGGGAGGAGAGAAAGAGGAGGGAAATAGGGAAGATTTTAGAGAGGGTGGACGTGGCCTGGGGGGAATGGGCAGGCGGTACCAATGGTTATGAATTTATTTTATTCCAAAATTGTATTTTGTATGATGTACAAATGGGAAAAAAATAAAATAAAAACTTTAAAAAAAAAAAAGGCACAAGGCTAGAAACCGGGAGACCGTGAGTTCTAGTCCTGGCTTAGGCACAAAAGCCAGCCAATCAGTAGGAAACAGTGAGTTTTAGTCCCACCTTTTGCATAAAAGCTTGTTGGGTGGGTAAATCACCAGGAGATGGAGAAGTCCTACCTAAGCTATGAAAGCTGGCTGGGTGGCTTTGGGCCAGTCACCTGGAGGCGGTGAGTTCTAGTCCTACCTTTGACATTAAAGCTAGAGGAGTGTCCTTGGGCCAATCACCAGGAAATGGAGAGTTCTAGTCCCACCTTAGGTATGAAAGCTGACTGGGTAATTTTGGGCCAATCACCTGGAGACGGTGAGTTCTAGTCCTGCCTTAGGCATCAAAGCTGGCTGGGTGACTTTGGGCCGATCACCAGGTGACTGTGAATTCTAATCCCACCTTGAGCATGAAAGCTGATGATTTTGGGCCAATCACCAGGTGACTGTGAGTTCTAGTCCTGCCTTAGGCATGAAAGTGGGCTGGGTGACTTTGGGACAGTCCCTCTCCCTCTCAGTTCAACCCACCTCAAAGGGTTGTTGTTATTGTAGGAAAAATAGGAGGAGGAAGGTGTGTTAAGTATGTTCACCGCATTGAATTATTTATAAAAATAATAAAGGGGGAATAAAAAAAATGTAAAAGTATTTACGCTTTTTACATAAAGACATAATTACTGATATGTTATAAATCTCTGTACTTTCAGGGTTAAGGGGCAATAAAATTTGGGAATAACAGACTCCCCTTTCCTATGAACTATCTTTACATCAATATTATATTGTATTCTGAAGAACGAAGAGGACTAGAAACCTTAAAGGAAATGCAAAGCTGTGTTTTGAGCTTCGTGTGCTTTTGGAAAACCTGTTTTACCAACAAACCTGTTTCCCCAACCAAAAAGGAAATCATATATACATGCATAGATACAGAACTGTAAAAAAAAAAAAAGATGTTGAGACTCTAGAAAGAGTGCAGAGAAGAGGAACAAAGATGATTAGAGGTCTGGAGGCTAAAACATATAAAGAACGGTTGCTGAAATTGGGTATGTCTGGTTTAACGAAGAGAAGGACGAGGGGGTACAGGATAGCAGCCTTCCAGTATCTCAGGGGCTGGCCCAAAGAAGAGGGAGTCAAGCTCTTCTCCAAAGCGCCTGAAGGCCGGACAAGAAGCAACGGGTAGAAACAAATCAAGGAGAGAAGCAACCTAGAACTAAGGAGAAACTTCCTGACAGTTAGAACAATTAACCAGTGGAACAACCTGCCTCCAGAAGCTGTGAACGCTCCAAAACTGGGGGGTTTTAAGAAAAGATTGGACAGCCATTTATCTGAAATGGTATATGATTTCCTGCCTGAGCAGGGGGTTGGACCTTCCAACTCTGCTATTCTATTCTATTCTATTCTCAGATATTTGCTTCTAAGAAGACCACAATGTCCTTTGATGAGTTTTTTTTTTACTCCAAAAAGTCCTGAACTCACCTGATTTGGGCAGCAAATGAAATTTATGCATGCAGTGCTGGTCTGTCAGACTCCGCTCTTCACACAACTGGTGCCCATTGCTCCAAAATTTGTAGCAGTCTTCGTGCAACTGCAGGGCATACTTGTGGAAGGCCGGACCCCGTGCGTGTTGGCTGTAGACCCTCAAGGCCTGGGCCAGCTGGCTCTTGTGGATGGTCATGGTGTAGTTATGGGGCAGGTTGGACTGGTAGGCACTATGAGCCATGGGAAGGGCTTTCTGACAGCGGTTTTCGGAAAACTTGGTGTCAATGTCCAAGTAGCCCTCCAGGACCTTGATGCTACCCATGATCTTGGAGGTCAGCTCTCCACCGAGCGAGGATTCATTCTCCTTCCCTTCAATGGCCACCTCGTAAAGCTTCAGGGCCGTGGTGACCCACTTCTGGTAGGTGGGCAGCTCAAAGTGGGAAGGTTGGGGGTTCCTCCCCACGCTGTCGTCAAAGCCCTTTTTGCAAAGGACGAGCTCCACATGCTGGAACAGGAATTCCTTTAAGGTGCAATCCACCAATTGCCCGGAGCAGCTGGAACTGCTGCTCCCGCAAGTGCCACCGCTACTTTCGGCGTGGAACGACAACTGCTGTCTCCCGTGACGCATCATGTGGTACCGTCGCGGCCCCGCCAAGGCCGGGCCCAGCGAGGTGTCGGTCTCCCGAGCGGTGCAGTTGTTTCTCAGCTGCTCCAGCAAGACAGCAATGGGGTCCTCACCCTCCTGGGCCCCACCGGCCACGATGTAGACAAATGCTTGGTTAGCCGGCACGGTGAAGAGGCAATTGATGCTCTGGTTGGTCAGCACCCGGCTCTTGCGGAAGATGCGGTAAATCTGGTCCTCCAAGGCATGCTGCAGCCGTCGTTTGGGCGAGTGCTTCTTGGGGGGCGGCTTCTCCAGCGGGCCCCCCAGCTCCTGCCCTCGGCCCGGCGGAGGCTCCACCTTCAGGGCCCGGTTGAGCTGGAAGAGGAAGAGCAGGCGAGGCGGGCACGGCCGGCAGAAGAGCTTCCAGTCCTTGCCAACCGGGCAGTCCTTGATGGCGGCTTTGAGGATGGGCAGCACCTTCTGCCGCAAGCCGTCCAGAGCCCGGAAGACCCGGTCGTAGGTGATGTCGAAGGAGGAGGTGGGATGCACCATCAGCAGGATGTGACAGACGGAGAAGAGGTAGAGCAGGTTGAGGCAGTGCATCTTCTCCTGCTGCTTCCAGAACTCGTGGGCTTCGGCGTGGGGCAGCGGCGAGCCCGCCTGGGCCCCCAAGCTGGCAGAAGCCCGGAGCGAGCCCCCCATGGCTTCCAGATCCTTGCAAGCTTGCAAGAGCTGGTGGCTGTCGCTGATGGCCGTGAGGACCAGGTAGAGCACCTTGCTCTCCTGGCTGTAGAAGGCCTGCAGGTGGTTGTAGTCGCCCTGGAAGGGGCTGGCCGAGGAAGAGGAGGAGGAAGAGGAGGAGGAGGAGGAAGGGCGAGGGGGGGAGTCAGCCACCGGGTCCGGGCTTGCTTCAGCGCCGCCCCCGGCAGGAGACCCGACCCTCCCCGCGCCGCCCTCCCGCTGGAACAGAGGGAAGACCTGCCGATCGCAGACCGTGTTGACCAGCGCCGACTTCTCCGAGCCCAGCTGCAGCGCCGTCTTGCCGAAGATGCCTACGACGCAGACCTCCTCCTCCTCCCCCGGGGGAGCAACCCCGGGGGAGGCGCCGCCCGCAGCAGCAGCGCTACCACCAGCAACCGGGGCGGCCGACGGAGCCGGAGCAGCGGCGGCAGGAGCAGCGGCGGGTGCCCCGGCCAGCAGCAGCTCATGCAAACTCACCGGGCCCTGCACGGCCGCGCCGCCCACCATCCTCCGGCCTTGCACGGCGCGCCGGGTCCCCGCGCTGCCGTCGGACCGGCGACTCCCCGCTCCGTCTCCGCGATCGGCAGCGCCTCCAGCCGCGGATCCGCACCCGGGAGAGGCGTCAGAGCGCATGCGCGGAGATAGAACATCCGGCGATGCAGCGGCAGCCAATCCGAACTCGCCTTCGGGGAGAATTGGATACTTCGCGTTCCACGACGGTAGATGTAAGAAAAGTTAGAGGGGTAAAAAGCCAGATTGCAGGACAGACTTCCGGGCTCCCGTGATGGTTAGTTTGCATTTAGAATCAGAATTGGCAGGAAGGGACCTCGGAGGTCATCTAGTCCAGTTCCTTGCTCAAGCAGGATTCCCTATATCAGGGCTCTTCAGACTTGGCCCTTTGATGACTTGTGGACCAACTCCCAGAATTCTCCAGCCAGCATCCATCCATTTATATCATTATCTAATACAGTGGTTCTCAACCTGTGTGTCGGGACCCCATTTGGGGTCGAACGACAATTTCACGGGGGTCGCCAAACAACGCAGTCCACCATTTTTTCCCCTTTTCCTTAACTGTGCTACTCCCTTTTATTCTATTGGCTTTTGAAAGCCAATAGAATAGACTCTCTTGAATAGAGTCTAATTCTATTGGCTTTCAAAAGCCAACAGGAATTGTCCAGGCTGTCTCTGCCCTGCTGAGCCCGCCAAAAGTCCCATTCTGCAAACGGTGCTGCACCAGTTGAGTAGTCCTCGACTTACAACCGGTTGAGTAGTCCTCAACTTATGACCGGTTGGGGGTCACGGCATTAAAAAGGTTGAGAACCACTGATCTAATCCATCCATATCTATCATCCATCCATCTCCTTCATTGGTATCTCTCTCTCTCTCTTTATCTATCCATCTCTCACAAGTCATAATGTCCACAAGTCATAAAAAGGCCAAGTTTGAAGACCCCTGTCATATAGCAATAGGAATAGCACTTACTTATATGCCGCTTCACAATGCTTTACAGCCTTCTCTAAGCGGTTTACAGAGTCAGCCTATGGCCCCCAACAATCTGGGTCCTCAGTTTACCCACCCAACTTTGAGCCTGTGAGAATTGAACTGCCAAACTGATGGCAGCCGGCAGTCAGCAGAAGTCGCCTGCAGTACTGCATTCCAACCACTGCGCCACCACGGCTCTTATGAATGCAGAAAGATGATGAATTGGAGAAAAAAAAACAAAACAATTCAGACCCCTGCCCTATATCATTTCAGACAAGTGGCTGTCCAGTCTCTTCTTAAAAACCTCCAGTGATGAAGCTCCCACAATTTCTGGTGGCAAGCTGTTCCACTGGTTAGTTGTCCTCTCTGTTGGGAAGTTTCTCCTTAATTCCAGGTTGCTTCTCTCCTTGATTAGTTTCCATCCGTTGCTTCTTGTCCTGCCTTCTGGGGCTTTGGAAAATAAATTGACCCCCTCTTCTTTGTGGCAGCCCCTCAAATACTGGAATACTGCTCTCATGTCCCCCCCCCTATTTCTTCTTTTCTCTAGATTCTAGACTAGCCAAACCTAAATCCTGCAGCCATTCTTCATATCTTTCAGCCTCCAGGCCCTTAATCATCTTAGTTGCTCTTCTCTGCCCTTTTTCCAAAGTCTCAACATCTTTTTTGTAATATGGTGACCAAAACTGCAGTAGTCCTGATGTCACCTTACAAAGGCTTTATAGAAAAGGTATTAGTCCTCTTTAAGGTGATCAAGTGGGTAGACATCTTTAAGGGGATCAGAGAGTAAACCTGGTGAGGAGTTAGGTCAAAGCAGTCCTGTATTACAAGAAGACAATCTTCCATCCCAACCAAGGGAACATATTGCTTTGACCAGGGGTCCCCAATCTTGGCGACTTTAAGACCTGTGGACTTTAACTCCCAGAATTCCCCAGCCAGCATGTCTTTCTGTCTATTTATCTATCTATCCATCTCTATCATCCATCCATCTCTATCATCTATCCATCCATTTATATCATTATCTAATCCATCCATCCATATCTATCATTCATCAATTTCTTTCATTGGAATCAGTCAATCAATCTAGCTATCCATCTATCTCTATCATTCATCCATCCATCTATATTTATCATTTATCCATCCATTTGTATCATCTAATCCATCCATCCATCTCTATCATCCTTCCATCCATCCATCCATCTATATTTATCATCTATCTATCCAGTTATATCATTATCTAATCCATCCATCCATATTGCGGAAAACAAAAATATTGGCTATTGTTCTTTTATGCAAGGTTTAGGCCCAGGTAAACTGAATCAGGACTCATGGACAAAGTATTGAACCAAAGTTTGTGCTATGCTTAATTTCGCAGTTTGCAATTGTACTTTTCTTAATATGATTTTGCTAAGCTTAATTGTTTCAAATATATTTAGAACCTAAGGACTGGAACAGTAAGAAATAGGGAACTGAAAGTAGCTGATGGATGCGGGTTCCAATGTACACGGGTATATGTGGAAAGTTATGTTCAGCAGGTCAGCAAAAGTCAGCAGACCATCTGACTACAGTCTTAGAACGAGAAAGGATATAAAAGGTTGGGATTGGACCTGATTGATTTGCCAATGGCCTATAGCTGTCCTTTTGGATTCTGCTATGCCATATGGTCCTCACTGCAATGGGTTATTAATGTAAGTGATGTTGTGTTGTTATGCTTGCTATGTTCCAAATTATTAGCAAAATAAACTTCTGAATCTTAAAGTAAGAATGATTGTTTTGTGCTGCTGTCTCTTGTCTTTTTCATTGGGTTTTTCCACGAAAATATCTATCATCCATCCATTTATCTCCTTCATTGGTATCTATCTATCTATCTATCTATCTATCTATCTATCTATCTATCTATCTATCTATCTATCTATCTATCTAATCTATCTATCATCTATCCATCCATCCCATTATCTAATCCATCCATCCATCCATCCATCCATCTCTTTCTCTCTCTCTCCAGCCTAATCAAGGAACCACCAAGAACACTCCCATCATCACCAACAGGTCAAGCAACTCATATATCAACAGACAGCAATCCCCACTCCCTTCCAGCACTGATGATGTTACCTAGATGGTTCATGAAAGGTCTGCAAGAAAACAACCCAGCTCAGAGAGCACCAAACATCCTACAAATTGTCTTGTATCATGCAGAATCACTGTTCTCCGGCTATGGCAATTTACAGATATAGAACCCATTTCCCAGAATCCCCCAGCCAGCCTAGATCATTGCTGAAGATTCTCAATACAGTTTGAACTTCCCGGGGTAGGGAGCATGGGACTTTCAGCTGGGCGAAGAAATCAGCCTTATCTCATCATCTTGCTCAAAACGTCTTGAATTCTGGGAGTTGAAATCCACAGATCTTAAAGTTGCCAAGCCTGGACACTCTAGTTTAAGGAAGAGAAGGATGAGGGGAGACATGATAGCAGTGTTCCAATATCTCAGGGGCTGCCCCAAGAAGAGGGAGTCAAGCTATTCTCCAAAATGCCTGAAGGCAGGACAAGAAGCAATAGAGCAGTGGTTCTCAACCTGTGGGTCGGGACCCCATTTGGGGTCGAACGACCATTTCACGGGGGTCGCCAAACAACGCAGTCAGCCATTTTTTCCCCCCTTTTCCTTAGCTGTGCTACTCCCTTTTATTCTACTGGCTTTTGAAAGCCAATAGAATAGACTCTCTTGAACAGAGTCTAATTCTATTGGCTTTCAAAAGCCAGTAGGAATTGTCCAGGCTGTCTCTGCCCTGCTGAGCCCGCCAAAAGTCCCATTCTGCAAACGGTGCTGCACCAGTTGCGTAGTCTTCGACTTACGACTGGTTGAGTAGTCCTCGACTTACGACCGGTCGGGGGTCGCGGCATTAAAAAGGTTGAGAACCACTGCAATAGAGGAAAACTGATCAAGGAGAAAAGCAACCTGGAACTAAGGAGAAATCTCCTGACAGTGAGAACAATTAACCAGTGGAACAACCTGCCTCCAGAAGCGGTGAATGCTCCAACACGGGAAGTTTTAAAGAAGAGACTGGACAGCCATTTATCTGAAATGGGATAGGTTTTCCTGCCTGAGCAGGGGGTTGGACTAGGTCCCTTCCAACTTTATTATTATTACTATTACTCCTGATGTAGAAGAATTGTTATGAAACAAGGCCTATTTTCTATTATTCTCTTGGAGACAATGTGCTGACTGATCACAAGTTATAAGCGACTCTTGCTTGTTCCAAACATCTTAGATTTTATTCTTTTCCACCATCAGTTTTGCTTACAGTTATTTGGCCTTTCAGACCCGAAACTGAACAGAAAATGTACCGCAAAATATTTCTTGCAGTACAAAGCACAGTTGGTTTACCACAACACATTCAACACGAGTCTTTTATACCTTTTCTATGTAACAATCCGTTGTGTAATCATGCTAGGTGCAACCTGACCTATTACGGGTTAATTCAAGACCAGATTTATCCTCTCCTTATCCTTCACAAACTCTCTCCAAGATTGGAGGTAGAAGCCTTCAAACATTCATTCAGACCTCAGTAACAGAAGGAGAACCTTGAATTCACAGTACCCCTAAATTGATCCTTCATGCTCAAATGCCACATATTTATTTGTCTTCCCTCCGTCTTCTAAGAGAGGAGAGTACAAAAACTGTCCTCTTGCATATAACATGTGTACAAATCTGTGTGTGCACAGCTTAGTTACAAACACAACAGGCCAAGAATAAATAGAATTCTTTCAAGCTCTGGAAAAACAGTGCTATTTCTTCGGATTAACATATGTCAGTCCCCATCCCCCACCCCCCAAAAAAACCCACCACATTCTTTTAAAAATACATTGAGAGAGGGTATGTAAACGTTTAAAAGAGCGGTTCAAAGTTATCTAAAATTGCCAAGCTTTAAAGCAGGGGGTCTTCCAACGTGGCCCTTTGATGACTTGGCGACTTCAACTCCCAGAATCCCTCAGCCAGGCCTGCTGGCTGAGGAATTCTGGGAGCTGAAGTCCCCAAGTCATCAAAGGGCCAAGTTGGAAGACCCCTCGTCTGGATCCAAGGCCGCAGTTTCATCAAAATGGCCGACTGAGGAATTCTGGGAGTCGAAGTCCACAAGTCATCAAAGGGCCAAGTTGGAAGACCCCTGCTTTAAAGTCAAAGCTGCTTCATTAAAGGAGGTTTTGAATGCCCAGGTGCATGAGAAGATAAGATCTGGATATGTTTTCAAAAGAGTTTTTTCAGCAATGTATTGTTACAGAATATTTTTCTAAAAAAACTGGAGGGAGGGAAAGAGACCAATTCCAGCATGTGAAAAGCTTTGCCAAGCAAATTCTTCCTTCTCCATCCATATTGTTCCCTCAAGCAGCGCAATGTATCCATTGTAGACATTTGTGGAGACCACCAGGAGATCTTCCTAGTTCTGTTCCTCGAAACTGTTTCTCGTAGGTAGGCATGAAGGAGATGGACTATTTGGGTGAGCCAGCTGTGAAATAAAAAAAAATAAAACAGCTTCCAATTGGGCACTTTTATTTCTTGATTTGTAACCCAGGTTTATTATTTTACAAATAACTTAAGGAGGCAAAGCTATCCTACACGCCTTCCTCTTCCTCTTTTCCATATAACAATCCTGTGAGGTAGATTGGGCTGAGAGAGAGGGACTGGCTGAAAATCACCTTGCTGGCTTTTATGACTAAGGTGAGACTAGAACTCACTGTCTCCTGGTGATTGGCCCAAAGTCACCCAGTCGGCTTTCATGCCTAAGGCGGGACTAGAACTCACTGTCTCCTGGTGATTGGCCCAAAGTCACCCAGTCGGCTTTCATGCCTAAGGCGGGATTAGAACTCACTGTCTCCTGGTGATTGGCCCAAAGACACCCAGCCAGGCTTTCATGCCTAAGGTGGGACTAGAACTCACCGTCTCCTGGTGATTGGCCCAGAGTCACCCAGCTGGCTTTCATGCCTAAGGCGGGACTAAAACTCACCGTCTCCTGGTGATTGGCCGAAAGTCACCCAACTGGCTTTCATGCCTAAGGTGGGACTAGAACTCACCGTCTCCTGGTGATTGGCCCAGAGTCACCCAGCTGGCTTTCATGCCTAAGGCGGGACTAGAACCCACCTTCCCCTGATGATTGGCCCAAAGTCACCCAGTCGGCTTTCGTGCCTAAGACGGGACTAGAACTCACTGTCTCCTGGTGATTGGCCCAAAGTCACTCAGTCAGCTTTCGTGCCTAAGGCGGCACTAAAACTCACCGTCTCCTGGTGATTGGCCGAAAGTAACCCAACTGGCTTTCACGCCTAAGGCGGGAGTAGAACTCACAGTCTCCTGGTGATTGGTCCAGAGTCACCCAGCTGGCTTTCATGCCTAAGGCGGGACTAAAACTCACCGTCTCCTGGTGATTGGCCCAAAGTCACTCAACTGGCTCTCATGGGTAAGGCAAAACTAGAACTTGCCATCTCTCACTTTCTAGTTTGATTCTTTAACCATGAGACTAAACTGGCTCTCTTGTGTCCAACTGTACTCCTTTTGTATAAAAATCTTGGCTATCTAATAATACAAGCTCCTGTAAATTTCAGGAAACATGCTTATTTTATTACGGTCAACCTACCAAGAAGATACCCTCACTTAGGGACTAGCAACTTGGTTGCTACATGAAAAAAAATTGCACGATTGTGACTTCTGATTTTATTTCTGTCTTGTCCAGTAACTTTGCTTCTTGCAAACTGGTTGCAAAATGCCCAAATAGCAGTCAAGTGACTGTGGGATGCTGCAAAGGTGAGGATTGATTGCACACACAAAAAAAGTTTTTTTCCCCCCAGACATTGTAATTTTGTACTGCTGCTGCATGAGGCAATTGATAAGGAAGGACTGTTTGGTTTGATCAGAGGTTGCTTAAATTCCCATCTCGCTTCTTTTTCTAAAAATCTAATTATTTTTTTTTAAAAAAGCAGTACAGACTTACAACTGTTCACTTAGTGACCGTTCAAACGGCAATGAAGAAAGCAAATTATGAGCCTTTTTCACACTTAACTGCCGTTGCAGCATCCCCGTCTCCACGGGAATCAAAAATTAGGAAACTTGGCAGCTGACTCACATTTATGACGGCCGCAGTGTCCCGGGGTCACGTGATCCCCTTTGGCGACCTTTTGATGAGCAAAATCAATGAGGGAAGCCAGATTCACTTAACAACCGTGTGGCTAACTGAACAACTGCAGTGATTCATTTAACAAGGGTGGCAAGAAAGGTCTTAATACGGGGCAAAACAAAGTCAACAAACTCGCTTAGCAAAGAGAATTTGGTCCTAAGTCAAGGACTTCCTATAAAGACATTTTTCTAATCTCCACTGTTCCAATTTTCCCAGGAAATGAAGATCAGCATGGACAGCAATATAACATTTCGAGATGGCCTTGCCTGGAATTTCCGCCGGAGAGCCTGGGTCATGAGTGGCGTCAGCCCTGTGCCTGTCTCAATGTTTTCTTTGTTGTTCATTGGTGTTCCCCCTGGACTCCTGGTTAAGAAAAATAATAGCACCATCTTAGACAGTCCTTGACTTACAGCAGCTCATTTAGTGACCGTTCAAAGTTACAACGGCACTGGGAAAAGCGACTTACGACTGTTTTTTCACTTACGGCTATTGCGACACCCCCAGGGTCACGCGATCAAAATTCAGACGTTTGGCAACTGATTCATGGCCAACGCTGCTAACATTGGATGTTCTTGCTTTGACGACATATGGAGATGCAGCCATTTTACTCTTAGAATTAGAGTTAGAATTAGATGATACTGGGGGGGGGAGGAGGAACGTGCATGGGAGTCAGTTAGACATAACAATATTGTAACTAGTGTGAGAACCAAGGTTTTTTTGAAATAAGAGCTGATAAGGAATGGCAGATTGGAGAACTGGAGGGAAGGTCTGCGTTTCAAACTAATTGGAAAATGTAATTTATGACTGTTAGTTAGAGGAGGGAATTGTGCTTGATACTATGTGCTCAGGGGAGGGGAATTCAGATTTTGGCTTTGCCTATGTACATGCCGATGCTATGCTACTCAAATAAAGATTCTTTAAGGTAAACAATGCCTCGACGTTCTTTGAAGAGTTTCATCTGTCAGAACTATGACACTCATATTTATGACGGTTACAACATCCCAGGGTCAGGCGGTCCCGTTTTGCGACCTTCCGACGAGCAAAGTCAATAGGGGAAGCCAGATCCACTTAACAACTGTCTTAGTAACAACTTCAGTGATTCACTTAACAACCGTTCCAAGGGAGGTCATAAAATGGGGCAAAATTCGCTGAACAAATCGTCTCCCTGAGCAAAACAAATTTTAGGCTCAAAAATTGTGGTTGTAAGAGCAGAATTTCTGTTGTTAACGCAATTGCTAATTGTGTTAAATTTTACAACCTGTTTTGCCATAGCTGTTCGGCAAATCACTGCAGTTGTTAAGTGAATCAGCTGGGCATTAAGCAAATCAGGCTTCCCCTACTGAATTTGCTTGCCAGAAACCAGCTGGAAGAAATGGCGATCACGTGATCTGGGATGTTGCGACCGTCATAAATACATACCGGTTCCCAAGCACCTAATTTTCGATCAGGTGTCCCTGGGGAGGCAGTTATGTATTTTTGCAAAAAAAAAAAAAGTTGTAAAATCAGGTTCAGTCGCATGATGACTCGCTGAGTGACCATTATCGCTTAGCAACCAGATCCAATTGTGATCGTAATGGAGGACTATCTATCTAGAACTTTGGGTCATTTCCCACTTGCCCTCCGTCTGGTAAACTCCCAAGATTCGTTTTTCTCACCATGCACAGATATACATAACCCAAACTAGGCTGTGTTGTTTCTCTGTGTCATATGACATATGTGGATCCATGCATAATTCTGTCTTTATTTATTTATTTATTTTTGTTGTATTTATGTAGTGCATATCAGAGGTGGTGACCCTAAGAGCTGAACGCAACAAAATTTCATTTTAATGTATGCCGACTAGTGTACATTCAAAGTGACAATAAAGTTGTTTCTATTCTATTCTATTCAATTTATATTCTAATATTTCATTCTTTTCTTATTCTATTCTACTCTACTTCTATTCTATTTCATTCTATTCTAATATTATTTCATTCTATTCTTTTTCTATTCTACTCTACATTCTATTCTATGTTCTATTCTACTCTATATTCTATTCTATATTCTATTCTATTCTATTCTGTTCTGTTGTTCTATTCTCTTCTCCTTTATTCTATTCTGTTCTGTTCTATTCTGTCCTTTCCTATCCTATCCTATTTATATTCTAATATTTCATTCTATTCTTATTCTATTCTACTCTACTCTATATTCTATTCTATTTATACTCTAACATTTCATTCTATTCTATTTTAATATTATTTCATTCTATTTTTATTCTATTCTATTCTATATTCTTTATTCTATTCTATTTTAATCTATTCTATTATCGCCATGTATAGGTATATCTGAACTAGACTATGTTGTTTCTCTGGGTCACATATGTGTGTGGGGGGGGGAGGGTACAGGCATAATTTATGTTATTGTTATTTATTTTTTGTCATCTTTATGTGGTGTATATTGGAGGTGGTGACCCTCCGAGAGCTGAATGCAACGAAATTTCATTTTAATGTATGCCGATTAGTCTACATTCAAAGGGACGATAAAGTTCAAGCTATGAGTTGTTATTATTATTATTGCCATTCATGTCACCATGCCAACTGGGCACCCTTCCCATCCCCAAACTAAATTATTGGTAGATGGCAAAATGTTTTTTTTTTTTTACCTTTCAATAGCCACTTTTTTCAAGTGTTTTCGGAAATCTAAACCGTCTTTGCTGGGAGTACTGAAGGAGGAAGAAGAAAAAAGGGCAGGATTTTAGCACTTAAGACAGTGGTTCTCAACCTTTTTAATACCGCGACCCCCCAACCTGTCGTAAGTCGAGGACTACTCAACTGGTGCAGCACCGTTTGCAGAATGGGACTTTTGGCGGGCTCAGCAGGGCAGAGACAGCCTGGACAATTCCTATTGGCTTTTGAAAGCCAATAGAATTAGACTCTATTCAAGAGAGTCTAGTCTATTGGCTTTCAAAAGCCAATAGAATAAAAGGGAGTAGTACAGCCAAGGAAAAGGGGGGAAAAATGGCGGACTGTGTTGTTTGGCGACCCCCGTGAAATGGTCGTTCGACCCCAAATGGGGTCCTGACCCACAGGTTGAGAACCACTGCACTAAGTCATCGCTCAGTGGACCAAGTTCAAGCACAAAACATAAAGTCGTCTCCGTAAATTTCGCAGCAGGGCGAATTTCTTACTTGAGAAGATTTGTAAGGCGAGGAAGTGGCTGGGGAGCTTTGGATTGGAGACGGACGCTCTGCAGGTCCTGGAGAGAAATTACCTTGCCTCCCTTGAATGGGGACATTTTCTGAAACAGGAAGGGGAAAAAAACAATAGTATCCTCTCATCTCAGATTAATAGAATCACAGAATAACAAAAATCACAGACCGGAAGGGACCCTGGAGGTCTTCTAGTCCAACCCCCTGCTCAGGCAGGAAACCCTATATACCATTTCAAACATGTCTTTCAAAGAGGCTCCAGAAAGTTGAGATGGTACAAATAGTCCTGAACTTACAAGTATAATTAAGATTAGACATAAGCAAGACGGTTCGTGCCCAGTTTTATAACATTTTCTGCCACAGTTGTTAAGCAAATGATTGCAGTTATTAAATGAACCGTGTAGTCTTTAAGTGAATCTGGTTTTCCCTATTGCCTTTGCTTCGTAAACAGATAGTCCTCAACATATAACAGTTTGTTTAGTGACCATTCAAAGTTACAAAGGCACTGAAAAAGGTGACTTATGACCATTTATCAGAGTTACGACCACGGCAGCATCCCCAGAGTCATGTGATCAAAATCCAGACATCTGGAGACTGACTCATATTTATGACAGTTGCAGAGGGGGGGTGTGTGTGTCACATGATCCCCTTTTGCAACTTTCTGACAAGCAAAGTCAACAGGGAAGCCAGATTCGCTTAACGACCGTGTGACTCACTTAACAATTGAAGTGATTCACTTAACAATTGTGGCAGGAAAGGTCATAAAGTGGGGCAAGATTCGCTTGACAAATGTTTCACTGAGCAAGATAAATTTGGGGCTCAGCTGTGGTCGTAAGTCGAGGACTACCTGTAACAGAATGACAGACCCATAAGGGGCTTTGGGGGTCTTCCGGTCCAATCCACTGCTCAAGCAGGAGACCGACATCTCTTTTCAAAGAGCTTACACCAAGTTGAGGCCGTAAAAGTTAGTCCTTGACTTAACAATCATAACTGAGGCCAGTATTTCTGCAGCTAAGCAAGACGGTCGTTAAATGAGTTGTGCCCGACTTCATGACCGTTTTTGCCATGGCTGTTAAACAAATCTCTGCCGTTTTTAAGTGGAATCTTGTGGTCTTGAAGCAAATCTGGTTTTTCCCTATTGATTTTGCTTACCGGAATCTGGCTGGGAAGATTGTAAATAGTGATCATGTAAGCCCCAGGTGCTTCAACCATTGTGAATACGTGCCAGTTGCCAAGTACCCAAGCTTTGATCATGTCACCCGAGGGATGCTGTGTCAGGAGGCGTCGCACGTCACCATTTTCGGTGCCACTGGAACTTGGAAAGGTCACTAAATGAACGGCTGTAAGTCCAACATTCCCCGTGCTGTCTTTGTTCTATCCCAGCCCATTGCCGTCCTTGTTAAAGGCACAAGGACCAAACCCCTGTTTATAAAATAGGCTGGAGACTTTAAAACAAAACAAAACCCTTTTAATATGGGTGACAAACCTGCCAAATAGTCCAAAACACAAAGAGCAAAACTCAATCCAAATGAAGGAACTAGTCCACAGGAAAACACGATGCAAATAGAAGAGTAGTCACAAGCAAGACGAACAGACCAGGATCCAAAGAAGCACTTTGCAAACGGTTGCCTTCAGCAACCAGCACCGCCCACACCTCCTCTTTTTATACAGCAGTCCCAAGGCGTTGCCTCTCAGTGCCTTCTCCTTTTACTCTGGAGTTGCCGTATTGACTGCTGCTGATTTACTCTCGCTAATTGACGGCGTGTGCGAGCATCAATTAGCAAGTCCATCAGGTGTGAGTCCTCCGAGTCTGACTCATTCTCCTCACACAGCTGAGCTTCATCAGGAACACGACTGGAGGGCCCAGGCTCTGCATCAAACCGTGAGTCCTGTAATTCATCAGAGCCTCCCTCTGCCCCCGATGGCCCTTCAAATGCCCCCTCCACCTCCTCCTCAGATTCCTCAGACTCAGCTGTTGGGAGCACAGGCTGGCACGGAATCACAACAGTCTTGTCTATTCGAACACGATTCTAATTCGCCCAAGACACTCCCCACAGAAAGATGGGTGGCAAAATAAATTTAATAAATAAATCAGCTTCCTGGATGAGAAGCGAAACGTCTTCAAAGGAACAACAAGGAAGTCCAGTTGCCTCTTGAAAAAGCACCTTTGGGGCAAACAGTTCGTTTAGTGACCATTTGAAGTTATAACAGCACTGAAAGAAGGGACTTGTGACTGTTTTTCCACACTTACGACCGTTCCAGCATAACCCAAGGTCACGTGATCAAAATTCGGACGCTTGATTCGTATTGATGACGGTTGCAGAGTCCCGGGGTCATGTGATCCCCTTTTGCGACCTTCCGACCAAATCAATGGGGAAACCAGCTTCACTTAACAACCCGGTTACTACATCAACAACTGCAGTGACTCACTTAACAACTGTGGCAAGAAAGGTCGTAAAATGGGACAAAACTCACTTAAGAACCGTCTTGCTAAGGAACAGAAATTTGGGGCTGAGCTGTGGCCGTACGTTGAGGATTCCCTGCATGTAGAAAATAGCTTATTGGAGCTGCAAGCTGATCATTTCAGGATTACCTTATCCATCCCTGGTTCGCTCTTAGTCTTCTTCAGTTTAACGTTCAGAAGATCCTGGGGTGTTATTTGTAGCGGGACGTCCTTTTTCAACGGGACAGGCTAAATTTGAGGAGAATAAATTGAAAAAGGAGGTCAGAATCCATGAGTCACTCAACCGTGAAAACAAAACATTTATTAGGGATTTGCTTGGAGCCGTTTGATTGGCTGCATTGAGCAAAGGGTTGGGTTCAGGTCAAGGGTAGGCAACCTTGGCTCTTTTATGACTCGTGGACTTCAACTCCCAGAATTCCTGAGCCAGCCATGCTGAGGAGAAAGGGAGAGGTTTCCATGCTAAGCCATGCTGGCTGAGGAATTCTGGGAGTTGAAGTCCACGAGTCATAAAAGAGCCAAGGTTGCCTACTACTGATCTAGGCCATGGGGAGGGAACCTTGGCTCTTTTATGACTCGTGGACTTCAACTCCCAGAATTCCTGAGCCAGCATGGCTCAGCATGTTAACCTCTCCCTTTCTCCTTAGCATGGCTGGCTCAGGAATTCTGGGAGTTGAAGTCCACCAGTCATAAAAGAGCCAAGCTTGCCTACACCTGGCCTAGGCCGCTTTATGACTCGTGGACTTCAACTCCCAGAATTCCTGAGCCGGCATGGCTCCACTTGGAAACCTCTCCCTTTCTCCTCAGCATGGCTGGCTCAGGAATTCTGGGAGTTGAAGTCCACGACTCATAAAAGGGCCAAGGTTGCCTACCCCTGGTTGAGGTGGTTTTAAATGCTTCTTCCCATCCACATTGCCGTTCCTGTCACAATTTAATTACTTTGAGAGCAGATTCCTGTAGCAGATTCCCAGATTGGCTGGGACCTCAGATGGTTGGGTAGGCAATTATTATCCAAAGGGATCCTCTTTCTTCACCAAGGCCTCAGAGGTGAGCACCAGACTGTGCAATTGCAGTAGGATTTTGATCACTTCAGCAAAGACCGATTAACAATCCCCAGTCAAATTATTTGAGACACATGGACAGCCCAGGAACAGAAAAGCTCGCTGCAATATTTTTACTTTTATTTATTTACATCCTCCCCTTATTATTTTCATAAACAGCTCAAGGGGGTGAACACACACACACTAATCCTTCCTCCTCCTATTTTCCCCACAACGACAACCCAATGAGGTGGGTTGGTTGAGGGAGAGAGTGATTAGTCCAAAGTCATCCAACTGACTTTCGTGCCTAAGGCAGGACTAGAACTCACAGTCTTCTGCTGATTGGCCCAAAGTCACCCAGCCGGCTTTCATGCTTAAGGCGGGACTAGAACTCACCGTCTCCTGGTGATTGGCCCAAAGTCACCCAGCTAGCTTTCATGCTTAAGGTGGGATAGAACTCAGTCTTCTAGTGATTGGCCCAAAGTCACCCAGCTAGCTTTCATGCGTGAGGCAGGACTAGAACTCACAGTCTGCTGGTGATTGGCTCAAAGTCACCCAGCTGACTTTCAGGATTAAGGCAGGACTAGAACTCACCATCTCCTGGTGATTGGCCCAAAGTCACCCAGTTAGCTTTCTTGCTTAAGGCAGGACTAGAACACACAGTCTTCTGGTGATTGTCCCAAAGTCACCCAGTTGGCTTTCAGGGTTAAGGCAGGACTAGAACTCACCATCTCCTGGTGATTGGCCCAAAGTCATCCAGCTGGCTTTCATGATTAAGGCAGGACTAGAACTCACCGTCTCCTGATGATTAGCCCAAAGTTACCCTGCCAGCTTTCATGCCTCAGGTGGGACTAGAATTCACGTCTCCTGGTTACCAGCCTAGTGCCTTAATCCTTGAAATGTCCCAGGCAGGCTGTCAAAGACCCCTATTTTGTTGGCGTGACCACAAGGAAACTGCAAGAGTTGTAACTTTGGGGACAGCTTGCAAGCAAGATGTCTTTTGTGCCACCTTAACTTTGAATGGTTGCTGAAGGAACAGTCGTTAAGCGAGGACTGTGTCTCTCGTGAAGGCAATTGTAGCCCGCCGGATTTTGCGCAGGCTAGCCTTCCCAAGCGTCGCAAAGTATTTTCTTTACAAAAGAAGTTCAAAACGTTCTCCCCAGTCGGTTTTAAGTTCCATCTTACCTTTGTGTCACTCCGTCTTTTGAAACCGAGGGATGCTGGTGCCGGGGGTGGTGGAGGGGGCGGAGGGGGCGGCGGTGGCGGCGGAGTGGGAATCTCTAGCTTTTGCGAAGACAACGGTGAGGGTTGTGTGACACCGAGCTGTGTATGTGCAGGAGAAGGTGATAATAGGTTTGGAGACAGCTGGCAAGGCGGGCTTCCCGCGGACGCTGCCGTACTTTCATTCTGCTCGAGACGAGAAAGAAAAAAAAAATATTGATTTACTTACTCGTTGTTAAATTTATTTGCTGCCAATGTCATGGTTCCAAAAGATGAAACTCTTCAAAGAACTTTGAGGCATTGTTTACCTTAAAGAATCTTTAATCGAGCACGCAGTTGAAGCCAAAATCTGACATCCCCTCCCTTCAGCACACAAATCAAAGCACAATTCCCTCCTACAGCTAACAGTCATAAATCACATTCTCCAATCAGTTTGAAATGCAGGCTTTCTGCCCAGTTTGTTCTCCTGCCATGCCTTATCAGCTCTTATTACAATATTGTATGTCTAACTAACTCCCATCACGTTCCTCCCCCTCCCCCAGTATCATCTAATCCTAAGAGTAAAGCATAAGAAAAAAAAAAGCTGTATCTCCATCTGTTGTCAAAGTAAGAATATCCAATGTTAGCAGTGGTGACAGCCCGGATTGCCATTTTGCTTCCCTCTCACTCTCCTCTCTTTCCTTCCCTCCATCTCTCCTACCTTCTTTCTGTCCTTTTTTAATACCTTCCCAAGGTCATCTCTGCATTCCTTTACATACAGTTTATAAAGGTTTTCTTTGCTTATCTATTTCTAGTAATTATAATGTTTTATTCTCTTAATTTTTTAAAGAGGGGGTATTTGGCCTAGTGCGGGGGTAGGCAACCTTGGCTCTTTTATGACTTGTGGACTTCAACTCCCAGAATTCCTGAGCCAGCCATGCTGAGGGGAAAGGGAGAGGTTTCCAAGCTAAGCCATGCTGGCTCAGGAATTCTGGGAGTTGAAGTCCACCAGTCATAAAAGAGCCAAGGTTGCCTACCCCTGGTCTAGTTTAATGAAAAGGACAAGGAGTGACATGATAGCTGTGTTCCAATATCTCAGGGGCTGCCCCAAAGAAGAGGGAGTCAAGCTATTCTCCAAAGCGCCTGAAGGCAGGACAAGAAGCAACAGATGGAAACTGACCAAGGAGAGAAGCAAGCTAGAACTAAGGAGAAACTTCCTGACAGTGAGAACAATTAACCAAGTGGAACAACCTGCTTCCAGAAGTTGTGAATGCTCCAACAGTGGAAGTTTTTAATAAGAGATTGGACAGCCATTTGTCTGAAATGGGGTAGGGCAGGGCTTTTCAACCTTTTCACCCATTGTACCATTTTTAGGATATGGCAATATCCTAGTACCACCAGTCGCCTAGCAAGGTGTCAAAACCTTGATGACCCCAAAAAAATAAAAAATGGAAAAAAGTGATAAAGTACAGGTAATCCTCGACTTAAAACAGTCCTCTTAGTGACTGTTTGAAGTTACAATGGCACTGAAAAAAGTGCCCCCCAAGCCACAGCCGAGCAAGACACCTGCCTGCCTGCCCGGCCGCGCACTTCCTCCAGGCCGAGGTTTTCATTATTGTGAGCATTTCTGTTGAGGATTGGCAGAGGGGGTGAGGTGGGGGGTGTTTGGTTTTTATTCCCCCCCCCCCGTCTGCTGGTTGGTTGCAGCAGGTTTTGGTCACTTCACATGACCCTGGGACACTGTGACCATCATAAATATGAATCAGTCGGCAAGCATCTGAATGTAAATCACAAGACCCTGGAGAGGCTGCAACATTCCAGCTGATCGGCGCTTCTTCTGGGCTCAGCAGAAGCGCCAGGATCAGCGCCGAGCTCCAGCTGGAGCCTGGCGCTGATCCTGGCGCTTCCGCTGAGCCCTGACAGCTCCAAAGAAGCATCGATCAGCTGGAAAGCGGCACTGATCCTGGCACTTCCGCTGAGCCCTGACAGCCCTGCAGCTCCAGCCGTCTCACTCAGGCTTGTGCGGTGCTGCCACCGGTTCAGCTCATTCCCCTCCCCCACTACCACTTTTCTAGGATGGTCGTGCACCACCTGCCAGGTGCCAATGGACCACAGGTGGTACCCATACCACTGGTTGAAAAACCCTGGTATAGGGCAGGGGTAGGCAACCTTGGCTCTTTTATGACTCGTGGACTTCAACTCCCAGAATTCCTGAGCCAGCATGACTCAAACATGGAAACCTCTCCATTTCTCCTCAGAATGGCTGGCTCAGGAATTCTGGGAGTTGAACTCCACGAGTCCTAAAAGAGCCCAGGTTGCCTACTACTGATCTAGGCCAGGGGGAGGGAACCTTGGCTCTTTTATGACTCGTGGACTTCAACTCCCAGAATTCCTGAGCCAGCATGGCTCAGCATGGAAACCTCTCCCTTTCCCCTCAGCATGGCTGACTCAGGAATTCTGGGAGTTGAACTCCACGAATCCTAAAAGAGCAAGGTTGCCTACCCCTGCCCTAGTGCAAAAGGGAGTGGAAGTCCACAAGTCTTAAAGTTGCACCTTTGGAGACCCCTGCCTTGGGACAAGATGATCCCAAGCGGGGGGGGGGGGGGGTGATGCAGCAGAAAAGGCCTTTATTCCGGATCCCGATAGTCAGAGTTCTTTGACTAACAGGATCTGGAGTAGGCCCTCTCTGCTGGCACGAATCCACAGAGGAAAAATCACCAAAGGCAGACCACCGTCTCAATTTAACCAGGACAGCTCTCAGCTATTCCTTATTAAATCCAGAAGGACTCAGACATCCATTAACAATTTATTATCTGAGTTCACGCATTGATTGATTGATTGATTTCTATAGCCCCCCCTGCATCCCTGGGCAGCTCACCGTTCAAAACATATATTACGATTAGAGCTTAAAAAACATTTTAAAGTATTAAAGTAGAAAACTTTCAAAGCATTCAAACATCTAAGTCAGTGGCGGGGAACCTATGGCACGGGTGCCAGAGGCGGCACTCAGAGCCCTCTCTGTGGGCACGTGCGCCATCGCCCCAGTCCTAGGCCTTCAGCTGGGTTTTATAAAACCTTTTTGCTTTAGGTCTCCACCGCCATGTACAAAAAAAAAAAAAAAAAAGGATCAATCAATCAGTCAATTTCAACTTCTTGTGGGAAAAAAAAAGATCTTGCAAAGTTGGAATTGATTGACTGAACTTTTTAGTCCCACCCAGTCTGCCGTTACCACCGCAGCCACGCCCACCCAATGAGCCATACCCACCCGGCACCCGACGATGCATAAGTGGGTTTTGGGTTGCAGTTTGGGCACTCGGTCTCTAAAACGTTCGCCATCACTGATCTAAGTCAGACGACATAAATAAAGCAAAATATCTCATGCATTAACCCCATAGTCAGGAGGCAGGGCCTCTGGCCTACGATGAACTGCAAGTTGTCCTCAACTTATGACTGATCGCTTAGCCACTGTCTCAGTTATGACAGACCCTCAAAAGCTACTTACAACCCATTCTGAAGTTATGACTTCCGGCCATATAGCCTCCCTGTAGTGACGTGACCACATTTTGAGAGCTTGGCAATTGACTCGCATTTACGGCCATTTGCAGTGCTCCCTGTGACCGCAATTTATCATTCTCTCCCCCCCCCCCAGAAATTGCCTTTTAGTTCTGATTTTATGAATAAAATGGCCTATAGAGCAGGGGTCCTCAAGGTTGGCAACTTTAAGACTTGTGGACTTCAACTCCCAGAATTCCTCAGCCAGCAAAGCTGAGGGCAGGGGGCCTCAAGGTTGGCAACTTTAAGACTTGTGGACTTCAACTCCCAGAATTCCTCAGCCAGCAAAGCTGAGGGCAGGGGGCCTCAAGGTTGGCAACTTTAAGACTTGTGGACACAAGTCTTAAAGTTGCCAACCTTGAGGACCCCTGCCCTATAGCGAACTAAGTTTGCCTAACAATACATTGTATTTCCTGGTCTTTCTAATCATGAAGATGAAGGACAGAATTTAACGGGGAGTGGAGAAGCTTCAACTGTTAACGAGGTGTGACTAACTTGGAGAATTGACCGCAGCTTAGCCACCTCCCTTTCCAGGTTTTTGACTTCAGCCCTGAGCGTCTTCAGCTCCTCCCGGAATGTGTGCGAAGGAAAGGCTGCGTTCACAAAGACGCGGAATATCTGGAAAGAGAAAGAAATCAGGTTTCGGCAGGATTAGTGGAGTGGTGAAGGAAATGGGTGCCAAGTCAAGCACTGTTTTATTTTTGGAGTAGTGGATAAGATGCTGGCTTAGTCCCACCATAGGCATGTAAGCCAACTAGGTAACTTTGGAGGCTGCGAGTTCTAGTCCCGCCTTAGCCATGAAAACAGATTAGGTGACTTTGCTCAAGGACTTTGGAGACCGTGAGCTCTAATCCCACTTTAGCCGTGAAAGCCAGCTGGGTGACTTTGGGCCAATCATCAGGAGACAATGTGTTCTAGTCCCACCTTAGCCATGAAAGCCAGCTGGGTGACTTTGGGCCAATCACCAGGAGACAGTGAGTTCTAGTTCCGCCTTAGGCATGAAAGCAAACTAGATGACGTTAGCCAAAGGACTTTGGAGGTGGTGAGTTCTAATCCCGCCTTAGCCATGAAAGCCGGCTGGGTGACTTTGGGTCAATCACCAGGAGATGATGAGTTCTAGTTCCGCCTTAGGCATGAAAGCAGACTAGGTGACTTTGGCCCAAGGACTTTGGAGGCAGTGAGTTCTAGTGCTGTCTTCGGCATGAAAGTCAGCTGGGTGACTTTGCGCCAATTATTAAGAGGCAGTGAATTCTAGTCCTATATTAGATATGAAAGCTAGCTGGGTGATTTTGGGCCGATCTCTCTCCCTCAGCTCAACCCATCTCCCAAGGATGTTATTGTGATAAAAAAAGAGGACAAATATTATGTATTACTGACAGAAGGGAATATTTGTACCTTAAGAGTATTATAATAATGCCCCACAATTTTATGCATCTTGGTCGACTTGTGTGACTGATAAATTAATAAAGACAGGATAACCAACTCATAAATAAATACATTCAGGTTGCATTTTAAGTCCTGCAGAAGAAAGCCTGTTGGGCAAGAACCCAAGTTTATTCAAAGGAAACCTGGTTGCTGTAAAATCTCTATGACATCTTCGGTCAGGGGCAAGTCCAAAAGGCTTGATGTGCATTGACTGAAATCAAGCCTCCCCATTAATTTTGCTTGTCAGAAGGTGGGAAAAGGCGATCACATGATCCCGGGACACTGCAACCATCATCAGTACATGCCAGTTGCCAAGCCTCTGAATTTTGATCATGTCAGGATAATGATTTAAAGGCTAAACAGCTTATGCAATGATGTAATGCAGTGATGGCGAACCTTCTAGAGACCGAGTGCCCCAAAACTGGCCCCACCCCATTCAACCCCCTGCCCCGCCCCTGCTCCGTCTCCACCCCCACCCCCACCCCACCTGCCTGCAGGACCATTAACTGCCTCCAGGGCCTATTGCAGATCGCCCAGGCAGCCCAGCAGCGCCATGGCGGCCACGCCGTCTGCCCGCGCCCCGCAGCATCAACTGTGCATGATGAGCCGAGGTGCCGCAGCAGTTAGAGTGCAGTACTGCAGGCCACTTTAGCTGACTGTGTTCAGCAGGTCAGTGGTTCAAATCTCACGGCTCAAGGTTGACTCAGCCTCCCATCCTTCCGGGGTAGGTAAAATGAGGACCCAGATTGTTGGGGGCAATGTAAATATATATATATATACATTGCTTACTGGTGTACACCGCTTAGAGAGTGCTTGCACTTAAAGCGGTATATAAGTCTCATAAATAAATAAATAAATAAATAAATAAATAAATGGGGCGTGAGAGCAGAGTCTTGTTTACATCAGGTGGCTGCCATGAGAGCAAAGTCTTGTTTACATGCCTGGCTGCCATGTCCTTGGCTGCGCTGCTTCGCGTCGGCCACGCTTGGGGGTGACTCTCCTCCAGGGGGGCTGCTGGTGAGGAGGGGGTTGCGGGGCAGGCGAGGCTGGGGCAACGGGATATGTGCCCACAGAGAGGGCTCGGAGTGCCACCTGATGTAATGTAAGGTGGATGATGCAAGAATGGGAATGACTCAGCAGAGTCTGTGACTGTGCCTTTAAGAGTCTGAGTATAAAAGGGAAGTTTTTTGCTAGAGCAGTGGTTCTCAACCTTTCTAATGCCGCGACCCCATAATACAGTTCCCCATGTTGTGGTGACCCCCAACCACTTATACATCACCGGGTGCCAGGGGCGTGGCCAAAGAAAAGGGGGAAAAAATGGCGGACAGCCTTGTTTGGCGACCCCCGTGAAATGGTCGTTCGACCCCAAATGGGGTCCCGACCCACAGGTTGAGAACCACTGTGCTAGAGTCTTTCTCTCTCATCCGTTTGACTGCTGTAATTGCTGTGTACTGGAGTTTGCTGTTTCACCAAGTGTATGTATCTTATTTCTAGTGCAGGGGTAGGCAATCTTGGCTCTTTTATGACTCGTGGACTTCAACTCCTAGAATTCCTGAGCCAGCCATGCTGAGGAGAAATGCAGAGTTTCCATGCTGAGCCATGCTGGCTCAGGAATTCTGGGAGTTGAAGTCCACAAGTCATAAAAGAGCCAAGGTTGCCTACCCCTGTTCTAGTGTATATTTGTAGATATTGTATGATAAACCACATTTAATTACAAACCACTGTTTACTGTATTTACTCCTGGGTTACCTCAGCACAATAAGACTGTGCATGCTCTGACACATCACATGACCACGGGGATACTGCAATGGTTGTGAGTGCGAAAAATGGTCATGTTACTTTTTTCAGTGCCGAATGGGCATTAAACGATTGCTCTCCCTGTAGGACTGTCTTGATATCAAACCAACTTACGTGTGCAACGTGTCTTTGGCACCACCAACACCAGCTAACCGCCGCAGCCAGAACATGCTTGGGAGTTTCTAATGTGTCCCCAAAAGCTAAAAGCCTGGAACAGAAAGGCCGTCTTTGGCTATGGAGAATAACTGGAGACCTGCTGAAAACAACTACAAATTAACATTTTCTTTGCAACACTGTGATTGTCTTTTGTGACTTTCCCAGCCAGCTTCCAATAAGCAAAGTTAACAGGGCAAGCCGGTTATGCTTAACACCGTGGTAAAAAACAGTACTAAAATTGGGTGAGGACACTCGTAGTTATTTATTTAATGATTGCATCACTTAGAGATGAAAATTTAAGTCCCAGTTGTTGAGGGACAAGGTATGCTATTAAAGCAGGGGTCTTCAAACTTGGCCCTTTTATGACTTGTGGACTTCAACTCCTAGAATTCCTCAGCCAGCATGCCTAGCTGAGGAATTCTGGGAGTTGAAGTCCACAAGTCATAAAAGGGCCAAGTTTGAAGACCCCTGTCTTAAAGCAAACGAACATTAACCACAAGCTTTAATCAAGCAATATAGGTAGTCCTTGACTTGCAACAGTTCATTTACTGACCGTTCAAAGTTATAATGGTACAGAAAAAAGTGACTTATGACCGTTTTTCATACTTACGACCAATGCAGCATGCCTGTGATCATGTGATCAAAATTCAGATGCTTTGTTTTAACAGCCGGGAGGATAGTATTTGCCCAATTATGGAAAAATGAGACTCTACCATCTGACCAGACTATAATTACTAAAATCTTAGAGTGTGAAGAAATGGATAGATCAGTGGTTCTCAACCTGTGGGGTCGGGACCCCATTTGGGGTCGAACGACCATTTCACGGGGGTCGCCAAACAACGCAGTCCGCCATTTTTTTCCCCCTTTTCCGTAGCTGTGCTACTCCCTTTTATTCTATTGGCTTTTGAAAGCCAATAGAATAGACTCTCTTGAATAGAGTCTAATTCTATTGGCTTTCCAAAGCCAAGAGGAATTGTCCAGGCTGTCTCTGCCCTGCTGAGCCCGCCAAAAGCCCCAGTCTGCAAACGGTGCTGCACCAGTTGAGTAGTCCTCGACTTACGACTGGTTGGGGGTCACGGCATTAAAAAGGTTGAGAACCACTGGGATAGATTAACATTGGTGATGAAAGAAAAAGATGACTCAGTTTATTTTATAACTTGGGAAAATTTTTATCAATGGTTAGAGATACGTTAGAATCTGAAAAGGACTTAATATTTCAGAATAGATGATTGAATTTTAACCGAGTTCTAATTAATAGGTTGATGACATTGTTATTTTTAGTGATTTAGTGATTTTTATCTGTTAATGTTGATAGTCAGGATTTTTTGAGATTTTATTATTTGTGTTTATTTAATAGATGAACTTATTTGTTTATTGTTTGTAATATGGCTATAGTTAAGCTTATTTTAAAAATGGTTGAGTATGATATTTACCCATTATTATGATCCGAACAGTAACTTGTTTGTTAAAATATGAGATTGTACCTATTCTTATTTTATCCTAAATCCCCTATTCCCTTCCCTTACCATACCCGTATTGTTCCTATTTTTTTCCTTATGTGTATAAACTCAATAAAATATTGTTTAAAAAAAAATCAGATGCTTGACAACTGGTTCCTATTAAGGACCGTTGCTATGTCCCGGGATCATGTGATCACTTTTTTGCAACCTGATAAGCAAAGTCAACAGGGGAAGCCAAATTCACTTAACAACCGAGTTGCTAACTTATCCTCTGCAGTGATTCACTTAACAACTGAGGCAAGAGAAGTCGTAAAATGAAGCAAAACTCATTTAACAAACATCTCACTTAACAACAGATATTTTGGGCTCAGTTGTGGTTGTAAGTCAAGGACTTCCTGTACGCAGGTTTAACAAAAAAAAAAATTTGCAAGTTGCAAAATGTTATGCAGAAATGTTAAAGCAAAATGAGAAACACTTACTTTGGAGGCAAAGCTTTTGAAGGAAGAAGAGATGAAGATGGAAACTCAGTATGTTTTTTTCCCTTTGATGAGGATTTTGTTCTGGGTCTCCATTTTTGGCCCCGTCGCTTAACTCTAGCCATTTTCTGCAGTTCCAAGCTAAACTATGTCTTCATTTGTCATTCGCCTGAATTGTTTGAGAAAGACAAACAGATCAGGAAATCACCTACAATGAAATCAGATATCTTTATTGCGGTGTTTGACGAGTCTTATAGTAAAAAAAAAAAAGAGAAATAGTTTAATGCAACAATTTGTTATGGCAGTGGTTATCAACCTATGGTCTGCACACCCCTAGTGGGGTGTGTATGATGTTGTCACAGGGGTCCGCAAAAGCTTGAAGAAATGTTATGATTTAAATCTTGACTTAAGTCTTGGGGGGGTCTGTGGTGGCCGTGGCCACAAAAGTTATTTAAAGGTGGTTTGGGTTGAAGAAAAGGTTGGGAACCACAGCACTATGGGAAAAAATAGGATAATTAAATAACATATCTAATTACAGGTAGTCCTCAACTTACAGTCGTTTGAAGTTACACCACTGAAAAAAGTTATGATGGTTTTTCACACTTATGACCGTTGCAGCATCCCCATGGTCATGTGATTTACATTTGGATGCCTGACAACTGGTTCATATTTATGACTGTTGCCATGTCCCCGGGGTCAGGTGATCCCCTTTTGTGACCCTCTGACTGGAAAAGTCAATGGGGAAGCTAGATTCAGTTAACAACAGCGTGACAACCTTAACTGCAAGGACTGACTTAACAACTATAACAAGAAAGGTCGTAATATGGAGCAAAAATCACTTAAGAACAGTCTTGCTTAGCAATGGCAATGTTAAGGTCTGTTGTAAGATGAGGACTACCCGCAGTCTGTTTTGCTGGACCCTTGCTGAAACTTCTGTTACAAGAAGAGTCAAGCATCTGAGTTATGTTTTTTTCTTTGTTAACCTGGCCTTTTCAGAGGTACAGCAAGCAAGGGGATTGAGAAGAAAGACTAGATCAATAGGTTTAGCTTTCTCTCTCTCTCTGGACTAGGTGAGGGCAAGGGTGATAAAACTGCAGCAGCCACTGAAGCATCCATTCACACAACACCTTAAACACCCATTCACCCAACACAAGGGATCCATTTACGGCACAGGAAGCTCCCAAACAAATAAACCCCAGCCCAGGTTGACGTGACGGTCCGATTGACCCGTCCCGTGGACCAACGACGGGATTCCCACGACGTACTGAATCCGTTGCTCACGTGTCGTGCGAACCAGTCCCCGTGAGCCGAGACTCTTTATGGCAGATGCAAGTACTAGAAAGGCAGAAGCTCAGCTTCGGATTGGTATCCAGAGCAGACTTTCTCCGGGACGATCCTGCTCAAACCACCCAGGCTGAGCTGCCGCCCTGGATGCGAAGAGCCACGTCTGAATGCGCCAGCTGCATCGCCTCGCCAAACATTCAAACTCCGCCGGAGCCAATCAGAGCGCAGCAGTGAGATCCAACGTTCCATCCGCCTCAAACTTCAAAGGCAGTACAGTCCCTCTGATTGACAGGCGATGTAACCAATCACTCCTTCGGGTTTCAAACGGGAGCCAATCGGAGTCAACGTTGGCGAGGCGGGAGGAAGGAGGACATCACCCAACCCGCCCGCCTTTGAAAATTAAAAGCTATGCGAAGGGCCAATGGAGCGCCGCATGCTGGTGCCCACCAGCCAATCCGGCCTCTCTGTCTGATTTTTCTCCCAGCTCGCTTCGCTATTAACGAACCAATGGGAAAGGGCGTAGCTTCTAAGGCACTCAATTAGAGCTCTCGTTTCATCTTGGGGCGTTATCCCAGTCATTATCCAATAGGTGTAAGGACATCCTCGGGAGCAGCCAATGAAGAAAAGGATCGAATGACACGGGCCCAATAAAGAGCGTCGTCTCTTCCAGTCAGCCAAGAAAGGGGCGGTCCCGCGAGGGGAGGGGAGAATGCCACCGCCTGAGGAATGTCAACTATTCAACATGGAGACGGCGGTTACTACGCTCGAGACCATGGTAAGTCTCGGGACTGCTGGCGGGCCGCCACCGCGCAGAACGGAGCCGCCGTTCCCTTGAGGACCGAAGTGGCCCCCTGAAGAGCGGCCTAAACGAACGGAAGGAACAAAAGGGGTGGAAAAGCCGCGGAGGAGGGCAGGAATGTAAGAAAACGTCTCCCCTCCCCCCCGCCGGATTCAACCATTCCTCACGCCTGGAGGAAGGGAGGCTAAGAGTGTATCTGGGCGTGCCCATTATTCACCCCGAAAGGGGGTGGTGGGCTCGCTCCGTTTCTTTCTGCCGTCTTGCTCGAGGGGGGCGTGGTCCATCAGTGGGCGTGGCTTGGGCGGATCCATTCTTCCCGAGCCCGATTCCCGGGGGGCGTGGCCAATACTGCGTGTAGGCGTGGCTTGTGTGCTGGGATGTTGCTGTGGTGGGTTGCCTGGAAGGGAAAATGGGAAGAGATCCATTGAAAGCATGGAAAAGGAAAAAAAAAGAAATGTAACCTTCCATTGCCCACACATTGTCCTCAACTTACAACGGGTTTGTTTAGTGGCCAAAGTTACAACAGCGCTGAAAAACTATTTTTCAAACTTAGGAACGCGTTCCCGGGGTCACGTGATCAAAATTCGGACGCTTGGCAACTGACTCGTATTTATGACGGTTGCAATGTTTGGGGGGGGATCATGAGATCTCCTTTAGCGGCCTTCTGACAAGCAAACTCAATAGGGGAAGCCAGGTTCACTTAACAACCGTGTTTCTGACTTAACAACGGCTGGGGTTTACTTGACAGCTGTGGCCAGAAAGGTCTAAAATGGGACGAAACTCACTTAATGAATCTTTTCTCTAAGCCACAGAAATGTTGGGCTCGAATTGGTGGCGGGAAGTTGAGGGCTGCCTGTATTGCGCTCGTACCTGTAGCAAATTATTGATTTGTTTTGTCATCTGAAAGCTTATTTAGGGACCACCTAATTCTGTTGTTCTCTGGAGGGGCTGAGTTGGACCCTAAATCTTATTGTCTGCCCATACAAAGTGCTACCTGGGGTTGATTCTACCTGCAATGTAGTAGGTCTGGAAAGCACCAGATTAAGAAAAGGCAGATTTATCCCATTTCTGCCCATAAGCGAATTGAAAGTGTGGGAAGTCATTTCCCTCCCCCCTCCCAGAGAAGGAAATATTAAGAAGGGCAGAATGTTATATTTCCTCAAAGGATCTTAAACAGGTAGAAAAGCGTGCCCAGTTTTTCTTAATAGCCCCAAGTCTCCCTCCTCCATGCAGAAACCAGCTCTGTAGAAATGCAGATATCATAATCCTTTCAGAAAGACTGGAAACTAGAAGCTTATAGCTGATGGGATTAGAAAGACAAAGATCCCTAGAATCAACAATTCCTCAGCCCCCAGAAACCCAACACAGGACATAGCCATCAGCCCCAGCCCCAGGAAAGCAGGATATGGCCTTTATGACATAATAGGATTAACCCAACACTATCAGAATACCAGAAAGGCACACTCAGACTCAGGTCAAAGTTCATGCCATAGGAAGAACTCCAAACAAAAGCTCAAGAAGGTATAAAAACCCACCACTCCCAGCTCCATGTGGTCAGCTTTCCCGGAGCCACGCTTCTGTCTGGCTTTGCTCTTCAATAAACTACAACCTTCTTTCTCGAGCAGTCTCCATTTTGTTTATTCCCAGCTTGGACTGGACCCCAATGAAGATTTTTCTTTCAACAAAAGCAAGTACATGAGATTGTACATCAGCCTATACCCAGTGCCACGTTTAGCCGTGGACCTTTTTTCTCCCCATCCTAGTTGGCACTGCAAAAATATTGTGAGGCTAAATAACAATGAGAGCCAATTTGCTCAAGTGGTTCAGGAACTCCTCAACGGGACCCGAAGTAGGTTTTTGCTGTTAATTTCCGTGCTCGTTATTGAACCTCTTCTGAGGATTGCAATGCTTTCTAAGCTTTTTTGTCCTCTTAAGATTTATTTATTCATTATTTATTAAAATTCTGTGCCACCCGTCTCCCCTACCAAATGACTCTGGGTGGCTTGATGGCTGACTGGGTTTTTTTTTTTTTTTTGCTAAGGATGGGCTCTTGAAATTGCCTTCTCTTGTTATGAAGAACAGTTGCAAGAACTGGGTATGGTTAGTTTAGAGCAGTCCCCTCCCAACCTTTGGGGCACTAGGGACTGGACCGGGGTGTGTGTGGTTTCGTGGGCTGCCTGCATCCCATGGATGGGAGTTCACTTGGTTTCTGGCGTGCCACGGAAAAGAAGGACATGGGTTGACATGAAAGCAGTGTTTCAATATTTGAAGGGCTGCCACAAAGAAGAGGGGGTCAAGCTATTCCCCAAAGCACCTGAAGGCAGGAGAAGAAGCCACAGATGTAAACTAATCAAGGAGAGAAGCAAGCTGGAACTAAGGAGAAATTTCCTAACAGTGAGGACAATTAACCAGTGGAACAGCTTGCCTCCAGAAATCGTGGGCGCTCCATCACTGGAGATTTTTAAGAAGAGACTGGACAGTCACTTGTCTGAGATGGTATAGGTTCTCCTGCTTGAGCAGGAGGCTGGACTAGAAGACCTCCAAGGTCCCTTCCAACTCTGTTATTCTGTTTAATGAAATCAAACACTTTCTGTTTTTGCCAGTATGGCTCATGGAACACTGCTGTAAGAGGCAGAAGCTTGTCAAAGAGAGAAGCAACCTAGAACTAAGGGGAAACTTCCTGACAGTGAGAACAATTAACCAGTGGAACAACCTGCCTCCAGAAATGATGAATGCTCCAACACTGGAAGTTTTTAAGAAGAGACTGGACAGGCATTTGTGTGAAATTTATACAGTCTCCTGCTTGAGCAGGGGGTTGGACTAGAAGACCTCCAAGATCCCTTGCAACTCTTGTCATTCTGTTCTTCTGTCTTGCTGCTTTCTGCAGGGTGAGAAGTGTCTGTCCACTGCCCTTTTTATGTTGTACTACTAGTGAACATGCACAAAAAGCAGTGCAATGTTAAAAGGGCATTGGCCAGTAATGCTCTTGTCAGCTAAAACACAATTGTAAGGGGAAAATCCTGTATCGTAAAGGTTTGGGAGTCTGCGGGGTTGCCTAAAACAGGAACGGGAAATCCCACCTTGCCCTCTGGATAGTTTTATTTATTTATTTATTTATTTTGAGTTTTGCTGCAGAAGCATTAAAACACGAGTGCGCTTTTGTATACGATGCGAGCAGCGACGGGATTCAAAGATGAACAACTGGTTCTCTGTGTTGGACGTCACTTCCGGAAGTCCAGTTCTGGGCCTGGGCAACAAAAAATGAAGCTACCGGTTCTGCCAGAGTGGTGCAAACCGGCTGAATCCCACCGCTGGATACAAGCCTGCCAAAGTTTCCTGTGTGCTATGCTAGTCTGTGCATCCTTTGCTTCTAAGAAGAAGAAAAAAGCTAGAGAGTTTCCTTTTGGCAAACAACTTTGCCTAACAAACAAAACAAAACAAAAAACCCAGATTCCCTGGTTATTGAGACGCTGCTGTTTCTTTCGGGAGGCAAATGGCTGGGTCGGGAAGCCCGATCTGCAGGAATGCGACTTCCCCTTGCAGAGCCTGCATTCTTTTCATCTTGTGCATGTTCCTGCACACATCCTCCCCCCCCCCAGCCCCATGGAGGACTGTACTTATCTCCTACTTTTACAAATAACTCTTGAGTCAGACCGCTGGAATCTAGCTGATGCTATGCATGGAGACGGGGTGACATGATAGCAGCATTCCAATATCTGAGGGGCTGCCCCAAAGAAGAGGGAGTCAAGCTATTCTCCAAAGCGCCTAAAGGCAGGACAAGAAGCAACGGATGGAAACTAATCCAGGAGAGAAGCAACCTGGAACTAAGGAGAAACTTCCTGACAGTTAGAACAATTAACCAGTGGAACAACCTGCCTCCAGAAGCGGTGAATGCTCCAACACTGGAGGCTTTTTAAGAAGAGACCTAACCTCCGTTTCTCCAGAATGGTGTAAGGCAGAGGTCCTCAAACTTGGCCCCTTTAAGACGTGTGGACTTCAACTCTGGGGAATTCTGGGAGTTGAAGTCCACACGTCTTAAAGGGGCCATGTTTGAGGGCCCCTGGTGTAAGGTCTCCTACTTGAGCAGGGGGCTGGACTAGAAGACCTCCAAGGGCCCTTCCGACTCTTGTCATACTGTTCTCCAAGCATTTTCCTGCTGACAGGAGCTCTGACTTCATTGCACTACTGTACTTCACGGCTAGCAGTGCAATAGTATTGTCAAAGCACTTGCGAGCAGACCCTGCAACGGCGGCCCGCTGGTGCCACGCATTTTTCTCTCAACCCTCTGTGGCCGGATGGAGCATTTGGGGCTCTGAAGAATCTGGGCTCTCACATGACCTGTTGATAAAAGAGGCATAAAGTTTAATTGGTCAAAGAACAGAGGAAAGATTCTGGTCGGTAGGTCAGTTTTAGAAGCCACGGTGGGAGCAATAGGCTGGCTCTGTAAACTGCTTAGAGAGGACTGTAAAGCAATATGGAGCGGTATATAAATGCTATTCCTTTTTCCTTTCCTTTCCTTATTTCATTTTATTTCCCTTTCCTCCTTTTCCTT